AACAACTGACGACCGACGGATTAAGCTATTTTTTGCTTCTGACATTTTGGCAGAACAACTTTGACGCTCCAGAACTGAATGTATCATACATTAGAACGTGTATAACCTGGAACAGTAGTGACATAGTGGAAAAATATTGCTGTGATGGTGCCTGCGGTTATTGTCATGCTATCGGTGCCGTTGAACATCCATAGATATTATGCTTCATTCTTTCGAATGAGTTGTTAATGTTCGATGGCTGTAGATGCTGGTACACGAGAAATGATTCAGTTTAGTTCGCTGCCCTCGTTTCAGCCAAACTATAGGACAAACCATTATGGTGGATAATGCTGTTTGACAGCTTTAATATAAAAATTGGAATCTTCAGTCATCTGTTGAGGCTAAAGCCATCATGATCCATGAGACGTTGCGACAGCGAAGGATTTTGCGCAGTACAAATCGATATATTTATTGCATGAGCATATTAGTGGTAGAATTGGTTCATGAATTTCATAAATGATTCTGTTTTAGGTGTGGGTCAGCGAGGAACCGAAGAGCTTACGTCTCACCCGTTTTTTGCACCAATCGACTGGAACCGTCTTTATAATCGAGAGGTACAGCCGCCGTTCAAACCTGCAGTCAGCAAAGCTGAAGACACATTTTATTTCGATTCCGAATTTACTTCCAGAACTCCCAAAGGTAGGCGACAGAAATCACGCTCTGTGTTACAAAAGGTTTGCATAGTTTTCGATATCACAGTACGTAAAACGTTTAGCTCTGCCGCAGTCAAAATTTTCAAGAAGTTAGATTAACTTTAGGCAAATCAGCCTAGCCATGATGATGCTACGGTCTTCGAAACAAAACACATCGGCAATAAACTGTTGTACCATCTGTATTGTTTGATGCCCTGAGCCATGAATCGTTCAAACACTTATTTTAAACTGACTGTTTTCTGTTGTTCCATAAAAAGTGGTTAACATTTTTGCTGAATGAATACTTGATTAAAGATAAATTATTAAATTCTAGTGATGTTTTGTTGGTTTCACTACAAGTTGCTAGTTTCTTGCCAGGGGGTCGATGAACTATTTGACTTCAATTTACTGAAACTATTGAGATGAGAGAATCAAGAAAGTATTGAGCTGCCCGCTGTTCCGAGCTTCTGTCCTACTTGAAGCATTCACTTATGGACTGACCACTTCGGGAATAAACGTTGGTCATGTAAAGAGAACGAATACCAACGAGTAGCACGGTCTTTGCTGAATCTCTCAACTGTAATATATTTGACATATCTTCGACCTGTTTCGTTTAAAGTAGAAGTTGATTTCGAATAACCGCTTTTCACCTCTGTTCCTACCATCAGTGCACAATTCTTGTTTTTTGTTTTCTCAGAATTATTGCCCACCTGTGCCCATGAAAATTTAATTTTAATTTTTGTGAACGTCATAATAACGTTGCAAGTGTTCCTACGATGTAGATTCACCCGGTGTTCCTCCGAGCGCAACGGCGCATGAACTATTCCGTGGCTTTAGCTTCATAGCTCCCCAGCTATTGGACGAAAAGCGCTTCAACGACTCGAAGCCTGCGAAAACGAACGTAACGTTTCTTGTCACATTATTTTCACCATCGCTTACGGCAGTTGCATTGTATTGTAGGGTCTGCAACTTGTGAAACCTGTGGTGTTTTTTGCTGAGTACGAACTGAAGGAAGAGATGGGTACCGGCACGTACTCTACATGCCGTCGCTGCACCCATCGTGGTACGAAGTCCGAATATGCAGTCAAAGTATGTTGTTGATGGTGAACACCGTCTTTACAAACGTACTCTCCTCTTTGTGTGCATCTGACGTTCCTTCATTCAGTCCCGTTCTCTATAAATCTTGCCTCGTCACTCATCAGTCATGGGATTGGGAGTTGGCAATGACCGGAATAAGTCACTGGTTTGTCGTAGCGGATTACGGTAGCATGTGAGAGGAACTAGTATCGTAAGCAGATCTTAGTTGTACCGCAAGCTCTTTTAACAAAGGTTGATGCACGAACATTTTTGCGATTACACATATTCTTTTATCTTTCTTTCATTTGGCAAATTCTTCGCGACAGCTTGTCTATTATTTAATTCCAGTGTTTTTTTAAATAATTTTCGTAAGAAATCAATTGTCCCTAATTTGGTGTTTTATTTAATTTTTTATTTTTTAGATAATCAACAGATCAAGACATGATCCATCAGAAGAAGTGGAAATCTTGTTGCGATACAGTCATCATCCAAATATCGCAACACTTAGAGACGTACGTTTTTTCTCGCGTTTCAAGCTTAAGTGCGACTAACGACTCAAGTTTCTTTAACATTGAAATTTATGATTGATGCTCAAATTTTCTGAATAGTTTCTAAAGTTCTTACTCAGCTTATTCTTCAAGATAACATTGACCACTAGTGAAATCTCTAGAACGAAGATCGAATCCTCAGATTTGATGAATGTTTTGTTGTTTAGATACTTTTCAGTCTTTCACCATACTTAGTTCTCTCAAAGCAGTATTTTCTGAACGATCCTGACCAATTTTTGAAAAATATTTTCTTACCACTTTGTTTCTTTCTAACGATCGCTGACGCTGTTGAAGGATTTCGTCGTACTCTCATCAGGGTACTCGAACCCACTGCAGGTTCTCGCACTCATCTTCGATTTAGAATTGAATTTGTATACATTGCAGTTCTGAAGCTATTTGCTAATTTTATTATTGTCGTTTTGTTTATCTGTTTGTTTCTTTTTGCGACAGTAAATCCTTCGGTGATTCAGGTGTTTCAAGACAGCAATTATGTGTACCTAGTCTTCGAGCTGTGCAAAGGCGGTGAGCTGCTCGACCGTATATTGCAGCAGAAATGCTTCTCAGAGCGCGAAGCGGCAGCACACCTGTACGTCGTCGTCAACACCATTGAATATTTGCATTCTAACGGGGTAAGCTTGGTATTTTGCAATAATATGTTCAAGTGTCTTCCGTTTGATATGATGATTATTTCTAAAGTTTATCGGCGTGCTGCTATGGGTTTTGTAAATCCAACTAATGCGTCTCAATGCATAAAATAATCTTGTCTTCATTATTTACTTCCTTATTTAGTCATTTGTTTACCTGCTTTGTTGTTGTTGTTTATCATCATCATCTCAGGTTAACAGGTTAAACAGCAGAGCAGTCCAATTTACGATGTATCATCGATTTGCCTGCATACTGACCGATGGACTACGTAATAATACATAGTTATACAGTATCGAGACAGATTGCAGATTTTCATAAGCATTCTTTTTCATCTTGGCGCAACTTTCTGCTGCTGTAGTGCTATGCTCGATTCATTGGGTGTGTGCTAGCATCACAGTTTGGAACCCCACTATGATACTAGGCAAATAAGTAGAGAGAACCCGGTACTGGAGGATGCGGTCACGTCAGGAAATTATCTTTAATGTGCTAGCATAATTTCGTTCACTCTGCCACCAAGGTCGCAGAACTGCACAGCTACCCCAATATCTTCTCGACTGCGCAGTGAGATTTTCAGACGATTCTGAAATGTTTCTCGTTTTCTTGTTAAGCTTTGTTTAGGCAGTAATAAGAAATAAAAGAAACAGGAATTAGAAAAAGTAGTATATGAATAGATAATACTTCAGGCTTTCGAAGTTATATATTGTTTGTTTGTTTGTTTGTTGAATTCGTCACCTTGAAGTGTTTGCATCAGAATCTGTCTGGTTTGTAATGTTCATTGTATTGATAGCTTTTCAACAGATTTGCTATAAGGGATCCGTTACGGCATTGCAGAAGGAGCAAGTTCTCTCTGAAATCAGATCTGCTTCCATATTCCGTGCTAGTCTCCTGATCGACGTCTGAACGGTTTCGGCTCTCACGCAAAAACTTTACTGACCCGGAGTTGACCGATGGTTTATTCTCAACCAGTTTATCTAATAGGGCTACTGAGGTTGCCTATGTTCGCAAGGCAACAGAGTCGTTCTTTACGTGATCCTGCTATTTAACCGTCATTATGCGTCGAAGCTACCGCTAATGTAAGCAGTTCAACGTCTTTTTTGCGCATTCATTGGAACCACCGACATCATGCCAAACTACTGACTTAACGTAGGCAAGGCGAGAACGAAATTTCGTCGGATGACTAACTCCTTTCTCAGCCAAAATATTGAGAAAGTTTCGAAAAGCACTGCAGACCAAGTTGATCCTCCTATTTAACTCCGGCTGGATTCTGCCGTCGCTGAGTTAATGGAACTAGATTTGATATACTTAAATTTCTTAATCTGCTGAAGCGTTTCACCTCCCTGTTTCAGTTGTGGATCAGCTATGCCTGATGGATTCCTCGTAACGTTTGATTTCCGGTTTTTGCTGAAGAGGTCGGCTACCACACGGCATGTGTTACTTACGAAAGCCGTCAGATGACAACGCTGGCTTCCCATACTTTCGCTAGGAAAATATCATCTACATACACCAAGTCAGCAAGTTATCTGATTGGATATATCGAACTACGCCTTCTCAATAGAATGAGACCTTTGTCTTTGCCAGGGTCAACGCTGGTTCAGTAAAGAAGGTTGAGAACAAGATTGAATAGCGATGGCGAAAGCATATCACTCTGGCAAACTTTAATGTTAGTAGTGAAGCATTCAGGTAGTTCAGCTTCGATTGTGACAGCAGGCTCAATTACTGCACAGATCTCTTCCAAAATAGAAGCGATATGCTGTGTATCCCATAACATTTCAAGATTTCCGCGTCGTCGAACGAAGATTTCAAAATGATGATTTGTATTGAAGTTAGTGAGTAAGAGAAACATAATGAAAAACAACAAGAAGGACAGGAGCGAAAAACGTGTAGCAGTTTACTACTTCCTGAAATAAAATTGATTAAAATGGTATAGTAGACTTCCGAGGGAGTCTGGCCAGTCCTGAGACCTCATCCTCAGCACACTGTGGATGATTGTCCGTGTGAAGATAAAAACTCACCAGGTTCAAGAACGACAAATTAGATTCACACAGCAGTACGTATCTTCTTGCTCCGGAGAGAGGGCCAGTCAGCGCTCGTTTCGTCCGAATATGCGAACTGCTTTCAGTTTTCGTCTTTTCACGGTTGTTCCGCTGAATGTCCCTAAAAGCAGCCCGAAATTTATGGCCGCTTACCTTTTAGTTCATCGCCTTCCTACGGACCTTCCCGCTGAACGGCCGGACAAAACAGAAGTCGGGGTCTTACGGTCTGTTTAAATAACTTCCACTGTCGCTGGAATGACATATTTCTGAGCAGGTAATTTTGAAAAGGCGTTTTCATGTGGTATCCTGAATCATCCGATGGCACGTATAACTAGTGTTTTGGTTCTTCTGTTTTTTGGTTCTTGTTTGCTTTTTCCTGATCCTTTTCCATTGATTCCATATCTTATCGTGTCAATAAAACGAGAGACGATGGATTTCAGAACTCTGTTTGTATTCCAGTCCAGTTTCTCAAGGACTGTATTAATGTGCATGGTATAAACTTATTCCTGTTCACTTGGAAGTACATAATTGTCGATGACCTCGTATTGCAGTCTATAGGTTTACTTCTGAAATTATCATTCCATGCCGGACAATGCACAAATGAGATGTTTTAACAGGCAGTCGTCGCTATTATGCTGCTATCGTAGCGGCCGGGACAAAATGTTGCCGTACTTCATGGTATAACGTTTTTCTTGCGACCATGACGAAGCTAGATTTTTGATTAGCTTAGTCAGATCTAATCGTTTTCAAGAGCCAGTTCTCTTGTACGAAAATATTTCCTTGATTGCGGTGGAATTACATGTTTGCTGCATTTCTGAATGAATATGGAAGCAGATCGAGCATGTGGTTTCGATGATTAGCTGAATAAATCGTATAAATTTCCCAATCTTTTTCATAACGAACTTATCAACTTTATGAACTACGGTAGGGTTAATTTGTTTAGGTGGTTCACAGAGATCTGAAGCCGTCAAACATCATGTATGCAGACAACAGTGGCAGTCCTGAGAGTCTCAGACTGATTGACTTCGGTTTCGCGACGCAGTTGCGCGCTGAGAATGGTCTGTTGATGACGCCTTGCTTCACGGCCCAGTTCGTCGCCCCCGAAGTCTTGAAGCGCCAAGGTTACGATAAAGCATGCGACATATGGTCTCTGGGCGTTCTTCTGTACACCATGCTTTCGGGGTACCCTACTGGCTTGTTTTAGTAAACCACTTGCCATTGACTAAAACTAATTTTCAGGTCCACACCGTTCGCGACGGGACCAAACGATACAGCCGCTGAAATACTTTCCAGAGTCGGGGAGGGGCGTTTTTCCATCAACGAAGGCAGATGGATGGCTATAAGTGACCTTGCTAAGGTAAATGAGCTTTTTATTCTTTTACTCTAGATTTACGCTTTTTACGCTTTTTATCTTCATCTTCTTCCATCTTCATCTTCCATCGCCGCTTCTCCTTTCGGGTCGCAGAGGCAGATCCGTCAGACTGTGCTTCCAACGTTCCCGATCCTGTGCCAGAGTCTGAGCTTCGGCAAAAGACAAATGCAGT